TGTTTTTAATACCCACAGAGGAAAAAGATGAGACCTGATCAGAACAGCTCTCATGAAAGATCCTCCACTACTGTTTGACTAAAAATTGTAGGGCTTAGATGAATTAGGGACAGTGGGGTATCCTGAAGACATCAAACCCTAGAACTTAAAAAAAGTCGATATAAAAATTTATTAACATGAAATTTTCCATTTAAACCATTTTTAGGTGTACAATTCAGTGGCATTAAGTATATTCACAATGTTATATAACCATTACCACTGGTCATTTCCAAATTTCTTTATCATTCCAAACAGAAACTCTGTACCCATTAAGCAAAAACTCCCATTCTCCCATCCCCCAGCCAGCCCCTAATAGCACTAATTTACTTTCTGTCTCCATGAATTTGCCTATTTTAGATATTTTATACAAGGGGAATCATAGAATATTTGTCCTTTTGTGTCTGGCTTATTTAAACTGTTTTCAAGGTTCATCCATGTTGTAGCTTGTATCAGAACTTCATTCCTTTTTTATGGCTGAAAAATATTACATTATATGTATATACCACATTTTGTTCATTCATCTGTTGAGGGACACTTGGGTTGTTTCCACCTTTGGCCATTGTAAATAATGCTGCTATGAACACTGGCATACAAGTCTCTGTTTGAGCCCATGTTTTCAATTCTTTTGGGTATTTACCTAGGAGTGGAATTGTTGGTAATATGGTAATTCTATGTTTACATTTTGAAGGAATAGCTAAACTATTAAACTGTTTCCTACATAAGCTGCATCACTTTACATTCTCCTAGTCATGCACCAGGGTTCCAATTGCTCCACATCCTTGCCAACACTTGGGTGTGAAGTGGTAGCTCACTGTGGCTTTGATCTGTGTTTCCCTAATGACTAATGATGTCAGGTATTTTTCATGTGCTTATTGGACATTTGTATACCTTCTTCAGAGAAATGTCTAAAATGTCTAAATATTTGCCCGCTTAAAAATTTGGTTGTCTTTTTGTTGTTGAGTTATAGGAGTTGTTAATGAATAGAAATATAACTAATGTTTGTGTGTTGATTTTGTATTCTGATAATAATCCTTATTAGATATATAATTTACAAATATTTTCTACCATTTTGTGGGTGGTAAGGATTGCTGGCCACCACCAGAAGCTGGAAAAGGCAAAGGAAGATTCCACCCAGAGCCTCAGAAGGAGCATGGCTGACACCTTGATTTCAGACTTTTAGCATCTAGATCCATGTTGCATTAAGCCACCCAGTTTGTGTTATTTTTAATGGCAGCCCTAGGAAACTAAGACATGTTCAATTTTGATACCTTTTATTTTTTTTTCTTGCCTAATTGCTCTGGCTAGAACTAACACCAATTCTTCTCAAACCCTTCCAACAAACTGAAGAGGAGAGAACACTTCTTAACTCATGCTACAAATCAGCATTACTCTTCTACCAAAGCCAGACCAAGACACTGCAAGAAAAGAAAACTACAAATACCACTGATGAATAGTGATGTAAAAACTTCAACAAAATACTAGCAAACTGAATTCAGGAGCCTACTGAAAGGATTACGCACCATGACTAAATGGAATTTACACTAGGAATGCAAGGATAGTTAAACATTTGAGAAAATCAATCAACATAATATACCGCATTCATAGAAGGGAGGGAAAATCATAATTATAATCACCTCCATTGATGCAGAAAAAACATTTAATAAAATTCAACACCATTCCATGATAAAAACACTCAATGAACTAGAAGTAGAAGAGAATTTCCTTAATGTGGCAAAAGCTATATATGAAAAAAATCCAACTAACATCATATTCAACAGTGAAAGATTGAAAGCTTTTCCCCTAAGGTCAGAAAGAAGACAAGGATGCCTGCTTTTGCCACTTCTATTCAACAAAGTACAGATTCTACTTGTTTTCAGTGTTTCTGTGGAGGAATGGGAGATTAGAGTTGCCCACTCTGCCATTTTGCTGATGTTACTCCCAAACTCTAGAACTTTTATACTATCATCATACATAAAGCAGTACTTATTAAATTCACATATATGCAAATTATAGTGCTGGAAAATAAAATTAATAGGTGAAATCAACTGAGTGCCTACAACCATCAGGCTTTGTTCTGAACCTTACTGCCTAATCTGAAATCTTCACATCAATGCCATGAGGTAAGTATTATTTTCCCCATCTTATAAAGGAATCAGTGGTGACTTGGAGAAGTTAAGCAATTTGCACAAATTAACAGCTAGTAAGAAACAGAACAGAGCAGATAATGTAGTCTGACTAAAAAGTCATACATTTAAATAGTATCCTTGTAACAGTCAGGGTTCCAACAAGCCCTGAGGATAAATTGAGGGGGTTTTACTTACAATGAGATTAATTACAAGGGTATGGGTGGGATGTAAGAGAACCATAAGGGATGGTGTAGTAAACCTGCACTACCAAAAAGCAGAGCTGTTGCCACCCCTAGAGCTAAAGGGACCGGGGGCTGGAAAGACAGTGGTGTAGAGAAGGCTTACTGGAGAGCAGTGTTAACCTTTAGTAGAGGAACACAGCAAAACCGAGAAAATTTTGAGGGAAGGATCCAGGGGGATAAATATCCTGACCTCCCTCCTTCCCATAACTTGTCAGAGCTCCCCATAAGCTCAACAACTGGAAGCCAGAAGACATGAAGGTCAGCCATCTGGGGTAGAGAGCAGGGTGAAGAAGTGTGGAGAATGGATCTATGATGGGAGGTGGGGCAAATGGAAGATATCCAGTACAACCATGGACACACAGTAGAATTCAGTAAATATGCTTTAAGTTAGATGCTTCCAACTTAAAGGGAGGGTGAGGAGGGGAAGAAGCATTAGTAAAGTCATACAGATCTGTACAGCAGACAAAAAGATGATGGAACAATATAAGCAAATGAATATCTAAAGTTCTCTTTAGCCCCATGATGAGAAAAATTATTAAAAGTACATCTGTGGGACTTTCCTGGTGGTGCAGTGGTTAAGAATCTGCCTGCCAGTGCAGGGGACATGGGTTCAATCCCTGGTCCAGGAAGATCCCACATGCTGCGGAGCAACCAAGCCCGTGCACCACAACTACTGAGCCTGTGCTCTAGAACCCACAAGCCACAACTACTGAGCCACCGGGCCACAACTATTGAAGCCCGAGTGCCTAGAGCCTGTGCTCTGCAACAAGAGAAGCCACTGCAGTGAGAAGCCAGCGCACCCTAACGAAGAGTAGCCCCCCCTTGCTGCAACTAGAGAAATCCCACCCACAGCAAGGGAGACCCAACACAGCCAAAAATAAATATATAAAATTTATATTAAAAAAAAATGTACATCTGTGGATAAAGAATGTCACCAGCCATTTCAGTAAACAAAGGATGTTGCAGCCATAAAGCCATTAGCCACTGCAGCAGCCTTTGACGATGCACCCTGAGGGGAATTCAGGATGGAGAAAAACAGAATAGTGGCCCAAGGCAGTTAAGATGCATATCAAAGGAATAATTTCAATAAGCCCAGACTCTTGCATCTTCCCATACACAGAAAAGCACTAAAATCATTAACTTGAGATGTCTGTTTTTGTGATTAGCAATAATCTTTTGATGTTCAACTACATTTTTTTTTTTTTCTTAGCAAAAAGTCCTATATACCCTGGCTCCTCCCTTATCTCTTTGGAACAGTCCCTTAGAGCTATCCAAGAGGCTATATCCCCAGCTTAAGTCCTCAGTTAGTCCACTGAATAAAACACAATTCTCAAATTTTAGACTGTACATTTTTTTCAGTTGACACATCTCTATACAAATATTTAAAACTGTTTCTCGGGGCTTCCCTGGTGGCGCAGTGGTTGAGAGTCCGCCTGCTGATGCAGGGCACACGGGTTCGTGCCCCGGTCCGGGAAGATCCCACATGCCGTGGAGTGGCTGGGCCTGTGAGCCATGGCCGCTGAGCCTGCGTGTCCGGAGCCTGTGCTCCGCAACGCGAGAGGCCACAACAGTGAGAGGCCCGTTTACCGCAAAAAAAACCCCACCAAAACCAAACAAACAAACAAAAGCCAATACTACCATTAGCTCTGTACTTCTGAGACAAGGATTATTGGATGCTTAAAATGGTCTAGGACCAAAAGTCTTAAACTTCTTACTTGACTATATTTCCATTGATCACCATTCTGGATTACTCAGTTTACTTGCATAAGTTATCTGCAGGGAGGAAACTATCTCTGTTACTTTGCCAGGGGCAGATTCTTCCGTCCTTTTAGAAAAAGGGCCTGTTCTGGTTTATTAATGTTGCCTACATCTAGATATGTTTTTTTAAAACAGCTTTACTGAGCTATGATCGACATATAACAACATGCATATTCAAAGTGTACATTTTGATAAGTTTGACAGGGGGATTTGTAAACAAGCCCCTTTGGTTCTCATACTCCCTATTCTCTAACTTGCCTTTTATAAAAAATAAAGGTGATGTTTTTGACCTCCAAAAGCTACTCTTTATTTTTCAAAATGTTTAAGAACATAGCCAGAAGAGAGCGAGGTCATTTTATTGTTTCATAGTCCTCATATTTGAAAGTTGATATCCTTCCTGAATTCTCTATCATCATAAAGCTTTGAGCCTATAGTAAACAAAACCCCCAAATACAACAAATTCTCTCATGGTCAGCTTTCACAACCTCTAATCAAGCCCCAGTGTTTTTCTACAATGGAAGGAATTGAAGCTACTTCTTGTAATTTCAGGAAGTAGATAAAAACAAAAACACCAAAACTAAAACAAAACACCTTAGGTTATCATTTGAAGTTTCCTAAGCTTAGTATTGACCCTGATGCTGCACAATGAGGAAAAAAGCTTGAATTCTTTTACTGGGAAAAGGTAGACAATCTCTTTTATGTAAGACTATAGACAGATCTTCAAAGCTCATTTGATATGCAACCCGCTTCTGAAGAAACACTTTTAGACAATCTGTTGCAGTGGGCAGGTAAAAAGCTCATCATGATGTCATATGACATTTCTGCATACACTTACCTCTGCTGTGTGCTTTGCCACATTCCCCACGATGACAATGACCTTCCCTTTGAAGCTCTGGAGCATGGCAGTGTAAGGTCCTTGGGTAAGCTCCCCTTCCGCAGTAAACGCAGTGCTGAATGGAATGTTGATGCTGCCTGAAATGTGACCCCGAATAAAACTGAGAAAAAAAGTTAAGGAAAACATTTATTTGTGTGCAGACTTGAATGTGTGACAGAAGCTCACAGAGGTAATTGATTCTCAGAAGACAGTACCACTAAAATCAAACACAAATGGAGACCAGACTTGAAAATTCCGAGCAGACGAAACCAGTTTAATCATACAAGTGAAGATTTAGCTTATTTTGCAAGACGAGTGAGGCTAACTTGACCTGGGTCACTTGTTTATGTCTCTGAAAATCATAAGTGAAACTTAAATTGTTCCCCTAAATTGATATGAGATGATCACTAACCAATTCCCTTTCATTTAAGAAAATTCTAATATTGTAACCAATTGCTGAAAAATAGTCACTGCTGCTTTTTAACAATATACCTCTGAGCCTCACTCCATGTTTTGGTTCCACCGCTCCTGGTTTGCAAACTGTCTTTTGGTGTGTGCACAATAAACTTTTACTAATTACTACTTCAGTTATTCATCAGTTTTACTTTTTTTTTTTTTCTGAACATTTGACAGTTCTAAACATCTTCCATGCTCACAAGTATTTTATTTAAACAACGTAAGGCACCTCTGCAGAAAAAAAAGTTAAATGTGAAAATGCAATGAACAAGTGAAAGGAAGACGACTAGCCAAAGATATAAAGAAGACTTTCCTGATTAAATGAAGTATTGTGAAAGTGATCAGAATGCAACAAATAAATGGCAGTCACAAAGTTTGTACAATATTCATGGTTTTCAGTTCCTTACTATTATTATGATTATTTTAAAGATCTGAAATATAGCCAAATGGATATTCTCAGATGTAACTTGATAATGCAAAAGCTTATCTACTCTGGGCAAGCAACTGTTAAATGGGACTCTATTTAGAATTGTTAGAGGTCATTAGCACTGGCTGGAAACATTTCTGTTGTTGGTTTATTTCTCAAGTAAACTTAGCTATTTCCATTCTTTCCAATTTTATGTTCTCTAAAGGGGGTGATGTTTTACTATATTTGTACTTTAGAAGGGTTTAAATGATTTCATTGACTATTACTTGTAATTTTGGAATTAAAAGCTTAAGCTTAAAATATTTAGAAATATCATAAGATCTTAAAGAAAAAAATATTCCTTCAAAAGTAATTAAAAAGTACAATTTTAAAAAGTGAAATTAAAAAGATGATTCTTCATATAGAGTCTGTAGAGGAAGATTCTGAAATATTATTATTAATCAAATAACTTCTCAAAAAAGCATAAAATAAAAACTGCGAAAACTGCTCTGAAAGAGATGTATATGATGCTTTGATAGGATATATCAATTTGGGGAGGACAGGGAAGGTTTCCATTAAGGAACTAAGTGATGGCCGAGGTAAAATATGAATAATTAATAAAAGTTAATTAGGCAACAGGATGGAATGGAGGTGGTATAGGGTGGTGGAAAGGAGAAACATTTTCAGACAGAAATGTCAGGCATATATTGGGGAGGAACATGACCAATCAGGAGAAAGGAAGGCCAGTCCTGGTGTAGAGAACAAAGACAGCATGAGATAAGATGAGCCTGGAAATGGATGCAGAGGCCAGATCATACAGGGCCTTGCAGATGATGTTGTTAATACTGGTCTTTATCCTAGAGCAATGAAAATCAGAAAGTATTTTAAGCAGAGAAGTAACAGATCGCATTTGCACTTCGGCAACAATGTGGAGAAAGGTTAGAAGGGGAGTGAATGTAAAGATTAGTTTATAAGACATGTAGGCAGTATCTCATCTCTTCCCTAACAATCACTGATAATGACCATGAAGAGATGTTTGTGTTCAATAGAAGCATTTTCCCCTAAACTTCCACTTTAGATGTGTTCTTTACAAAATGGAAAAGTCGTAGAGTTTTAAAAAGTTATGTCACAAGCAACGAATATTCCCCCAACCCCCAAAAAAGACTCATTTGTCATTCCTGTAGAAGGGGGAAAATTATAATTATTTATTGACATGACAGTTTCTCAGTTGCCCCAGTTTGTAGGTTCATCTTTAGAATACTACTTCTCTTGTTTCTCTTTCTTTTTCCCTCATTAATGGAGAGAGAAGAAATTTGAGGCTCCTACTCTCAAGAATGATGGTGGAGGTTGAACATGTGTCTTAAATTTCTAGTCAGCTGTTGCTTCATCCTTTCTTCTTTAAAGAAGGCATCTGGCATTAATAATGAGGGAAAGGACATAAAAAGTTCTGAAAAATGAAATGAGAGGTAGAATAAATATTATCATCCCAGTGTATACTGTTTAATTAGAGTCTTCTAGAATGAACAGAGAATTTATGAAAGGAGATCACCCTTGAATTTCAACAGCACTAGTTTTTCAAACATTTATAATTACTCAATACTCAAAATATCAACTGCAGTTTTCATGAACAGAAATGACTTTGTACTCAGCATATAATTACTCCGACAGCACTTTAATCTTCAATAAGGACATACCTTAAAATAAAAATAATTGATTTTTCAGAAACTCTGAACCTAACAACTCAATTATTCTCAGCAAATATATCTACATCTGCTAGTCTGAATCAACTGGCAGAGAGACTTTCTGTGTTTATCAAACAGCCAGTATCAACCATGAACATTTTTCCTTTCTAGTGCTTTTTGAATACCAAAAGCAATACAAATCTATACTAGTCAAATGCTCTAGCAGACATGTCTGCACTGCCTGCCCACCTCCCACCTTCTTGTTTGAAAGGAGCTCAACTACTGACCCTGATGAAAGGGTGAGCCTAGGCTGTCATGTTTGTATCAGGTGATCCTGCCACGATCAGGACTGACAGGATAGGAGGGAGGGGATGAGTGAAGGTAGACATCTGACACAGGATGATATCCTGTGTCAGATAGGCTGAGCCAGTTAGATTCTCTCCCTTCAAAATCAAAATAAAAGATAAAAGACAATGCTCAGACTGTGTTAAGCTTAACAATGTAAAATCACATTTGAGTGCCTTCTATATATGTTTTATTCAGCCAGATGTTAAAAAATTAGTGACTCTAGAAATAAAATTATTTTACAAGATAAATTCTATAAATATTTGGTTTAAAAATAGTACCCATCTGTATCCAAATACCCAATATCTAATATCTGTATCTAAAATCATAGATAAGCATCTAGATGATTTTGTGGGTTCAATATCACGAATTTATTATGTGCTTTTAAAGAACACTTTAGTATGTCATACAAGTATGTCATAAACTTATCCTAGAATTTTCTTTTGTGCTTTATGGTTTGATGTTTTTAAAAAAACCACTAGATTAAATGTTAAAATGCTTGACAAAGTAAGATTGCAACAGAGTCTTTTGGGTAAGAGAAAAGTTATAATCCAAAATGCAAAACTTTTTCAAACATTTTTCAGGCTATTTTAACACTTTGGAAGATAAGACACAAAAGAAAAAAATGTCTTAAACCATACTTCCCCTATTCTTAGTTTAGTTGAAGCAAAAAAATCCTGGAAGACATATAAAAGCACTCATCCAAGAACACTCTTGTCATAAAAATTCTAGTGCAAATAAGATTGGGTAAGCACAAATGCTTGTAGACAGGGTGGTCAAACCTGTAAATAGCTATCCTTAACTATGAGACTGGCAAATAGCAGAGGAGAACGAGACTGGCCTAGTTACACATTAATATATTTACAATGAACATTTTCTTTTTAAGTAAGTTGGACAATGAAGACAATTTCGGTTATTTAAGGATCTTGTTTCCTTGGTGATTATTTACATTTCACTGCCTACATTAGAAATTCTCATGTGACACAAACATCATATGATGAAGTAGAACTTTTTAAGGCAATTTCTAAACACATGAGAGGCTGTCAGATTATACTGTAAAGGTAGGCAGCTGAATACTATTTTTAACTTTCTGAGTCTTTCATAATCATAATAAAATACTAGGTGTTTGAAAAATGAGCACAGAATAGATTCTGTACATTTTGTGTTAATTGGACAGAATACGTAAAGTAAAACAGAAGTTGATTTCTGACATATAGTGACTCTGATTAATCCTGGGCAAAACATGGCAAGAAGAGCAAAATGATACAGAATACACTGAGATAAGCACTTTCTCCATGTTCTAAGGACGGAAGTTTTACTTCCTTGTACTGCAGTGGAAGACAAGTATGTATAAGTTCTTAATAATAAGGTAGTATTAGAGACGAACATGCAACAATATATATTTTAGGATTACGACTGTTACTTCATTGCTTTCCTCATATTCTAGACAAAAATTTGGACTCTTTGCATTTGCCTTTTGCATTTAGAAAAGCCAGCGCTTGCCAGCATAAACACAGGTATGGGGTAAACAATACCCACACTTAAAGAGGTTCTATAGTGAGTGTACTACCCAACAGACAGACACTATACTGTAAACTTAAAAAGCTTCAGCTTCAAAATACCCAGTTTAGAGAGTATTAAGGCAACAGAAGCCCAAGTATTTATGTGGTAATTAGTCCCAATCATATATACATCTTGACAGTGTACTTATAACAATGTCCACCATAATTTTCAGATTGGTTTTGGCAAAAACCACAATAAAAAACAATGGCACACACACTATCTTTTTACCTTTCAATGTTTATAAGACATTTTTGCTATTAGGATTTTTTTTTTTTTTTTTTGCGGTACGCGGGCCTCTCACTGCTGTGGCCTCTCCTGTTGCGGAGCACAGGCTCCGGATGCGCAGGCTCAGTGGCCATGGCTCACGGGCCCAGCCGCTCCACGGCATGTGGGATCTTCCCGGACTGGGGCACGAACCCGTATCCCCTGCATCGGCAGGCGGACTCTCAACCACTGCACCACCAGGGAAGCCCTGCTATTAGGATTTTTGATGATGTCTTTGAAGGAATTAAAAGATACAAGACATGATTAAAGAAGTCAGCAGTAATTACAATGAAATCTCTTCCATGGAATAATAGTAGCTATAAAAAAAAAGCATCTAGTTATTATAACAGTCACCAAGTCAGGTGTTTGTACCTTAAATTTGTTTTGTGATAAAAAGAGTTGGTTTATTAGAACAATATTAACAGGTAAGGATGATATGCATTATCTTGTAGGTTTCCAAGATATGAAGACTTTCCTGTATTCATAAGTCAGTCTATATAAAAGTACAAGTAGATGCATCATACTTTACTCAAGCAGATAGAAAAATATATCAGTTCTAAGAACAACATAGGTACACCATATAGGTAAGTTACATAGGTAAATGTTCATATTCCAGAAAAAATTCTTCACTTTACTAAAAGATTTTTAAATTCCTTTAAAATATTTAATGGCTCAAAATTCAACACAGAAATAATCTCATGTTTTTTAAATCCTAAAAGAGCACAGCTGGGCTTCCCTGGTGGCGCAGTGGTTGAGAGTCCGCCTGCCGATGCAGGGGACACGGGTTCGTGCCCCGGTCCGGGAGGATCCCACATGCCGCGGAGCGGCTGGGCCTGTGAGCCATGGCCGCTGAGCCTGTGCGTCGGGAGCCTGTGCTTCGCAATGGGAGAGGCCACAACAGTGAGAGGTCTGCATACCGCAAAAAAAAAAAAAAAAAAAAGAGCACAGCATTTCTCACTTAGTGACATCATACCTCTATACAAAGCATACTAGTATCTTACCAGACCACTTCTGAAGGTATGCGGACTTTTATGTTGTCTTGTCTGTTTGCTATGTTAGCTAATTATAATTAGTGTTAAAGAGCTCAAGGTAAATGTTATACCTTTAATATTAATATATCAAAAGCCAAAAGTTTCCTATTATATAACTAAATAGCATTAACTGATATAAAAATTATATCTTTAGATATCATTTTTTCTTGCTAAATCTATTGTTGCTTTCCTTGAACAGCACCACCATCCCCAAGTCAGTCTAAAACCTCATTTTTGTCATCTCAATAGTGGCAATATTCAACTGTAGTGTACTAATAAATAGCATCCTCCTATCTCTAGTCCCATTTTCACTTGCCTATTTCAGACACTCACTACCTTGAGCTTAGACTATCACAGTAGCTTTCTGTTTTCTCCAACTCTCACCTTTTCCCTTGGAAATCCATTTTATTCATGATGTTACATTAAAAATTTTGAAACACAGCTCTGATTATCACAGCCATGCTGAGAAACCTTCCATGGCTGCCTATAAGACAAAGTCCAAATTTCTCAGTTCAGCCCTTATGAATAGAACCAAACTATTTACTTCAATCCCAGCCAAACTGAATTACATGCTGTTTCCAGTACATGTTCTGCCTAGCTCCTGTCTTTTTCTCTGCCTAAATAGCTTTTCTCCATATTTTTGAGTGTTCAAGTATTACCCATGCTTTGAGAGTTTTCTCCATGAAATTTTCCCTTCCCACAGTATCTGTATATCTCTCATGACAGCAATTTGATTTTAAATAAAACATACTAATGTACCTGACTTCCACTAAGACTTTAAATAATTTATAGGAAGGATCTGTATTTATCTCATCTATGAAACTCTTACAATGCTTAACACAGTATCTAGAATACATCTAACATATTTGTTGAGCAAATAGATTTCAGAATTGTGCCAAACCTAGAGTAACTAGTGGCAGCTGAAAATACACTAAATGCCTCCTGGCCTTCCTGGCTAGTGGCACCACTACTTATCAATACTTGTAAGTGCCATGATATAGAATTCTCTTTTGTCAAAATACAGTATGAGAAAAAAAGAAAGAAACAGCAACAGAAGTCATTTTCCTGGATTTTCTCCAGCACAGAGACCAACACAAAGGGCCTAGTAAAACTAGGTTATTTCAGGGTGAAGCTAGAGACCTCACTCTCTGTGACTGCAAATATGAAGGAATATTTATTTATGCACATCAAATCTTTGGGTGATTCTATCCTTCTAGTCTTGCCTGCACCATTACCTCCATTCTCATCCTTCTTCCCACCGCATTAATCTCTCTAAAACACAAATCTGAGCATGCCACTTACCTGATTAAAATTCTCTAATACTCTCACAGCCTATGGAATAAAACCCAAACTTCTTAGCATGTTATGCAACATTCTCTATAAGCTGCCTTTGCCTACTTTAGTCTCACTTCCCACCAACTTATGAAGAAAATTAATTGTAAAAAATTTCTACATTTATATTTTATATATTGAGTTTTTAAGAAAGATTTTATTTTAAAAGGGAGTTACCTGGTTCAAAAAATATCTGAAAATCATTTACCTAGATTCTAGAGTATAGAGCACCAAGGCATGCTTTACAAAAATCTGACATGATGAAAATATAAGGAGAAAGACTGAACTATTACTATTTTGTAACTTTTCATACTTTAATGCCAAGCAAAACCACCAGAAGTTATGGTACATTTAATATTAAAATGTCAGTGGAAAATACTTTAACATGTTCTCTATAAGCCAATATTTTGAAAATTATAATAAATAAAAGTTCAGTGTTGAGATCTGGCTCACTTTCCTCTCTAGGCTATGAGGTAGACAAAGTAAATACTTACGCTTCATCTTTGCTAAAGGAAGGATTCCCACAAGAACAGCAATATACAGCAGTGAAACACAAAAACCAAGAAAATAGCCCACTATTTTGGCGTTGTCTGGGAAATATTTTAAGGTTTCTGGTATGTAATGTTATCTTATGAAACATTATGCAAGTCTGTTCTGGCAACCAGTTTGAGAGTTATTTAGCTATCTGAATTCAGAGGAATCCCAGCTATGTTCATTGTTCCTACCACATGTCCTTTAAGTTAAAAGGAAGCAATGCGAATGAAGCAGTACCACCCTTTAAAACCTCAGGTGTAAAGGATACTCTTCACTATTCCGGATGTCAACTACCAGGAGCTTTGGTTTACTGGACTTTGTCTTCTTGGTGGGTGTTTTGAAGTGGCCTGTCACTGTAAGCTCACACAAGTCAATCAGGTCCTCTGCTGAAATCCGGGGTGACACTTCTGACTTTAGGTCATTTAATGGAATGGATTCTCTTGACTGAAAAAAAATGCACAAACAACACAAACATTGAGAACATTATAGAGAGACAAGCTATAGCCAGTACAGAATATCTTCAGGTTTTTTATATCAATTACTATAGCATATGGGAGAACAGGAAACTGTATCTCATTTTAGCAGTGTACTGTGTAACTGTATTCCCTACCACTGATGTTTACTTTTTTATTAGTCACACATATAGGAAAGCATTATTCTTTTGCTTCACTACAAGTTCCTGGCTCAAATGTGGTAGAAAGAGATGAGGCAGAACTGACTGATTTAGGAAAGATTTGACCTTGGTGTTGGTTCTAATCAAATGCATCATATGTGAGGAGTTTTTTCAAAGAAAAGACCGATTGCCTTGTGAAATGGTAAGAACGGAAGGAGAGGAATCACTGACAAATTCATAACTTTCTGAAGTTTTTTGTGTGTATCAGCAAAGAACTTTAATATGTTGCAAGCACGTTCCTCTGCAAATTAACTTTAGGAGATTAGTAAGTTATATTTTGGACAAATTATACTACTTTGCTTTTAAAAAAAATTATAATATAAAAATACAGAATCTAGCTTCCCTTTTATTAGACAGTTTTATATGCAATTTTTCTATTCATTATACAATATCCACTTAGGGGCATAAAAGTAAAACTTCCTCTATACAATTTACGTCTTATTTAGTCATTGACATTGGTATTTTCCTGTGTGACTAGGGTTTCAAATTCATGGAACTTTGTTTATTGACAATGGACAAGAATTTAGAATAACTATAGAACAGCTCTGAAAATGTCTGCCCAAGGACCTGTACATATAATTATCATTTATCATTTCTGCCCAAGAACCTGTACATACAATTATATTAAACTTAGATATCCAAACATCAGAAACCAATTGGTATGAGAATGACTTTTTAAAAAAATTAATATTCTATTTTTAACCTAGAGTCAGAATTTATTTAGCAACGTTACTGATAAAAAATATCTTTCAGTAGAGTGGGTTTTCTGAAAGGGCTATCTGGATGTGTTACTGATAATGCTAACCAAGCAAGCAAAAATCCAAACCTGGTAACAAGACAGGTATTTTACTGCGTTCATTAAACTTCTGGGAGAATGACTTTGTCATGGTACCTGGAGTCTGAAATGGTAGACTTTTTTTTGGTATATGGTGTTAGAAAATGTTCTAATTTCATTTTTTTACATGTAGCTGTCCAGTTTTCCCAGCACCACTTATTGAAGAGACTTTTTGTCCATAGTACATTCTTGCCTCCTTTGTAGTAGATTTGTTGACTATAGGTGTGTGGGTATATTTCTGGGCTCTCTATTCTGTTCCATTGATCTATGTGTCTGTTTTTGTGCAAGCACCAGTTTTGATTACTGTAGCTTTGCAGTATAATCTCAAGTTAGGGAGCATGACTCCTCCAGTTCTGTTTTTCTTTCTCAAGATTATTTTGGCTATTTGGGGTCTTTTGTGTTTTCATACAAATTTTAAAATTTATTCTAGCTCTGTGAAAAATGTCATTGGTATTTTGATAGCGATTGCATTGAATCTGTGTATTGCCTTGGGTAATATGATTGTTTAAACAATAGTAATTCTTCCAATCCAAGAACACGGTATATCTTTCCATCTGTTTGTGTCATCTTCAATTTCTTTCATCAGTGTCTTATAGTTTTCCAAGTACAGGTCTTTTACCTCCTTAGGTAGGTTTATTCCTAGGTATTTTATTCTTTTTGATTCGATGGTAAATGGGATTGTTTCCTTAATTTCTCTTTCTGATAGTTCATTGTTAGTATATAGAAATGCAATAGATTTTTATATATTAATTTTGTATCCTGCAACTTTACCTAATTCATCATGAGCTCTAGTAGTTTTCTGGTGGTGTCTTTAGGATTTTCTATGTATAGCATCATGTCATCTGAAAACAGTGACAGCTTTACTTCTTCCTTTCTAATTTTGATTCCTTTCATCTCTTTTTGTCTGATTCTGTGACTAGGACTTCCAATACTATGTTGAATAAAAGTGGTGAGAGTGGGCATCCCTGTCTCATTCCTGGTCTTAGAGGAAATGCTTTTAGCTTTTTACCATTGAGTATGATGTTAGTTGTGGGCTTGTCATATATATGGCCTCTATTATGCTGAGGTATTTTCCCTCTATGCCTGCTTTCTGGAGAGTTTTTATCATAAATGGAAAGTTTTTTATGCTTCAAAAGCTTTTTCTGCATCTACTGAGATAATCATATGGTTTTTATTCTTTAATTTGTTAATGTGGTATATCACACCGACTGATTTGCAGGTACTTAAAAATTTTTGCATCCCTGACATATTAACTATGAGAATACAGAGCCAGTATCTAGAACACTCTTCCCATATTTTCTGTCATGGGTCCTGGCACTAACTTCAATCTAGTTACCCAGGACAGAAATCTGAAAATCATCGTAGATTCTTCATTCTTCCTTATTCCTCATTCCCATCGAACATATCCCCAAATTCCACCATAATAACACTTGAATCTGCTGCCTGATTCACTGCTCTATCTCAGGGCTTCCATCATCCCTTACATGGACTGTAGAAGCTGTTTGCCCCTCTTGCTGCCTCCTTTTTTCTCTGCTTCGCTCTTCATTTAAAGTTATCCCTTCTAATCCATATGCCAAATGCCATGAATTAAAATAAAAATCTCATCATGTAAATTTTATAATTAAATACACCTCCATGGCTTCTAGACACTGATGGAGTGAAATCCAAATTCCTTGGTATAGAATATAAAGCCTTTTATAAATTGGTCTCTGTCTATAATAGGCAGGAGACCATAGGCTTTGGAGTCAGACTACCAGGACTCAAATCTTGGCTGTGCACTCATCAGTGTGTGACTTTGGACATGATATTTAACTGCTCTGCCCAATTTCTTCATCTATAAAGTGGGATAACAGCATTTACCTGAATCCTCCTAGGCTGCTGTAAGAATTAAATGTTAATCTATATAAAATATTTAGAATAGTGTCTGACACACTGTCAGAGTTCAATAAATGTTTGTTATCTTTCACCTTTTTTTCTCATCCCTTACCACCTTGTACCATGTACTTTGGCATTAGCAGACTATTTGCCTTTTTATACCACTGTGTCACCTTTGCCCACGTTGCTCCCTCTGCTTAGAATGCCGCACTTTGTCCATCTAATAAATCTCTGCTCACCTTACAAGTATCAGCTCAAATACTATTTTCTCTGTGAAGAAAGTCTTTTTGACTCCTGGCAGTCTTACTTAGTTTTTCTTCTGTGTCTGCATAGGTATCAGGTATACATCTTTATTATAATAGGATTATTTACTTCCCACTAGACTGAGAGCTCCTCAAGGATAAGGAAAATGACTTTTATGCCTATGTCTTCCCCAGGTCTCAGCAAATTATCTGACACATAAAAGATATTAAAATATATTTGCTGAATATAAATGAATAAAATGGTTTTCCTAAGTCTTCTATTACTTTTCCTGAGTAACTTTGTGCTATGTGTATGTTTCCCAAACAACATGTATATACCTCCATCATAGTAATTACTATACTTGTAATACATTATCTGTTTCTCCTCTTGACTTACAACATCCTTGAATGCAGGTTCCGTGTCTTTTCATATTTGTATCTCCAAAAGATAGCACAAGGTATGGAACCAAAAAAACTTAATAGATATTTAATGAATGAATGAGTGAATAAAAATATGATTAAATAACATTACAGAGTCTATTGTTACATCTGGATTACTAGACAGAATCTTCAGGGATGGCAAATCATAAGATTCTCTCTAGCCTCTGGGCACTGTAATGGTTAGTCAAGAACACTGAAATCTATATCTGCCTCAATAATTTCTCACAGCCATCTCTCCTTTCCTCAACTGAAAAATTGAAGATGACAGTTGCTACCATATAAGCTTACAAAATGTACTCTAATTAATTGAAAGAAGTTAGGTGTATATAAAGAAGGCAAAAAAATAAACACACACAAAAAACTATCCCTAGGAAAGTAGGCAAAATAATTTAGTGATAATAAAAATATGAATGAAGGAAAAAATAGATAAAAAAAAATAGAGTTGAAACTTTGGGGAATATCAATAAAACTAGAAAACCTGTATGTGAACTGTGTGCACGATAAGAAATGAGAAAAATATAAACAAACATATTTTTATATTTTTTCTTTCTCTCTATATTTTCTTTATATATCGCCCTTTCTTCCTTCCTTCCTTCCTTTCTTTCTAATTATCTATAAATGAGAAAGAATATAAGCATGTAAAAATATTTGAAAAAATAAAAAAAATTTCCCAAATATTCCCAAAAGAATATAAAATCTGAATAGACCTAAATATCCATAGGCCTAAGTAGAGCTGAAGAGAACTGATGAATGATATGTGTGTGTGTGTATTCAAAAGTCACAGAAAAACTGAATAAACTTTGTAAATACAGGTAAAATTTTAAAGTTTTTAAATGATTACTTTAAAGAAAGGTGCCAAACACATTTTTTTCCTGAAGCAATTCTATCTTGTAACTGTTCCAAGGCAAAGAAAACACTGAAAGGTTATTTTATGAAGTGACCATAACCTAATTCTTAAATCTAACAAAGAGAGCATTAAACACCACCCCCCAATATTCCTTAAGAATATAGATTCTTAAAAATCTCAAAACTAGAAAATTGAATGCAGTAGCAATTTAAAAGAATGGCATACTATGACAAAGTAGGGCATATTCCAGGAATGAAGGACGGTTCAATATTAGGACAATTTTAAAAATAATTCATCACCTTTAGTCAAAGGATATGAAGTATGTAATCATCACTGTAGGTGACACAAAGCCATATGTGATAAAACTTCACATTTATTCCCAACTTTAGAAAAACTCATGGTAAACACATATCAGAAGGCAAGTTAATTAGAACGATGAAAGATTTCATTAAGGCAGATGTTCTTTATCTCAAATATTTGACATTCTAATTAATGATGAACCACAGAGGCAGACTTATTAAAATAAAAATG